TTGTTTTTTTGTTTTTCTTGAGACGGAGTCTCGCTCTGTTGCCCAGGCTGGAGTGCAGTGGCCGGATCTCAGCTCACTTGCAAGCTCTGCCTCCTGGGTTTACGCCATTCTCCTGCCTCAGCCCCCCGAGTAGCTGGGACTACAGGCGCCTGCCACCTCGCCCGGCTAGTTTTTTTTTTTTGTATTTTTTAGTAGAGACGGGGTTTCACCGTGTTAGCCAGGATGGTCTCGATCTCCTGACCTTGTGATCCGCCCGTCTCGGCCTCCCAAAGTGCTGGGATTACAGGCTTGAGCCACCGCGCCCGGCAGGAAGGTTTTTAATTACAAATTTGTGTTACTCCATTCTTGCATTGCTACAAATATCTGAGGCGGGGCAATTTATAAAGAAAAGAGGTTTACTTGGCTCACAGTTCTGCAGGCTCTACAGGAAGCATGGTGCCAGAATCTGCTCCTGGTGAGGGCCTCAGGAAGCTTCTAGCCACAGCAGGTGAAGGGGGAACAGGCATGTCACAAGGCGAGAATGGAAGCAAGAGAGAGTGGGGAGGTGCCACACACTTTTTTTTTTTTTTTTTTTTAGACGGAGTCTTGCTCTGTCGCCCAGGCTAGAGTGCAGTGGTGCAATCTCACTGCAACCACCACCCCCCAGGTTCAAGCAATTCTCCTGCCTCAGCCTCCCGAGTAGCTGGGATTACAGGCGCACGCCACCACACCCGGCTAATTTTGTATTTTTACATTTATTTATTTATTTATTTGATGCTGCATGACACCACACCCAGCTAATTTTGTATTTTTACATTTATTTATGTATTTATTGACGAGATGGAGTCTCACTCTGTCACCCATGCTGGAGTACAGTGGTACGATGTTGGCTCACTGCAACCTCCAGCTCCCGGGTGGGATCAAGCAATTCCCTGCCTCAGCCTCCTGAGTAGCTGGGATTACAGGCATCTGCCACCATGCCTGGCTAATTTTTGTATTTTTAGTAGAGACGAGGTTTCACCATCTTGGCCAGGCTGGTCTTGAACTCCTGACCTCGTGATCCACCCGCTTTGGCCTCCCAAAGTGCTGGGATCACAGGCGTGGGCCACTGCGGCCAGCAATTTTGTATTTTTAGTAGAGATGGGGTTTCGCCATGTTGGCCAGGCTGGTCTCGAACTCCTGACCTCAGGTGATCTACCTGCCTTGGCCTCCCAAAGTGCTGGGATTACAGGCATGAGCCACCATGCCTGGCATGCCACACACTTTTAAACAACCCGATCTAGTGTGAACTCAGAGAACTCTCTCATCCCCAAAGGGAGGGTGCTAAGCCATTCACAAAAAATCGGCCCCTATGATCCAAACACTTCCCACTAGGCCCCACCTCCAACACTGGGTATTACAATTCAACATGACACTTGGAAGGGATGACCATCGAAACTATAACAAAATTGAATTTCTTTAGTAAATATGGGGTTATGTAGGTTATCTATTCTTAAGTGAACTTTGATAGTTTGTATCTTAGGGAATTCATCCACTTTATCAAAGTTGCTCAAGTTATAAAATATAATTGCCAAAATATTCCTATGATCCTTTTAATATACATAGAATCTGTAATTATGTAACTTCTTTCATTTTCATATTATTGTGTCTCTTTTTTCTATTAAGCCTGACTAGAGGTTTATCAATTTTATTGATCTTCTCAACATACAAGCTTTGGTGGCACTGATTTTTCTCTTGTTTTGTTTTCTATTTCATTGTTTTTTTTTTGTTTGTTTGTTTGTTTGTTTCTGAGACGGAGTTTCACTCTTGTTGCCCAGGCTAGAGTGCAAGGCGCAATCTCAGCTCACTTCTACCTCCACCTCCGGGGTTCAAGCAATTCTCCTGCCTCAGCCTCCTGAGTAACTGGGATTACAGGCATGCGCCACCACACCAGGCTAATTTTGTATTTTTTTAGTAGAGACAGGGTTTCTCTATGTTGGTCAGGCTGGTCTCGAACTCCCGACCTCAGGTGATCCACCCACCTCGGCCTCCCAATATTTCATTGTTTTACACTAAATATTCATCATTTCCTTTCTTTTGCTTATGTGGAGTTTCAGTTACTCTTCATTCTCTAATTCTTAAGGTGGAAGCTGAGGTAATTGATTTGAAAGCTTTCTTGTTTTATTTGGCACTTAGTGCTATCAATGTTCGGTGACTCTTTAGGCTTTGAATATCCTTCTGCCTAAAGTCTTTCTGCCTCCTCAGACTCTGCCGAGGCTGCCAAAGAGCCCTGAGAGGGTGGACTCTGGTGCCACACTGCCCTGGCAATAATAATCTTGACTCTGCCACTTAATAGCTGTGTGACCTTGCTCAAGTTACTTAACCTCTCTGTATGTCAGTTTCTTTGCCTGTAAAATGTAGATAATAACAATAACTGCCTATTAATTTTAGGAGTCCAGTTGGCTGGGCAATTATGCTTAGATGTGTGGTCAAACATTTTGGTTTCTGTGAGAGTGTTTTTGGATGAGATTTAACATTTAAGTGGGTAGACTTTAAGTAAAGCTGATTGCCTTCCAAAATGTGGGTGGGCCTCATCCAATCAGTTGAAGGTGTAAATAAAACAAAAAACTGACCTCCCCAGGGCAAGCCGGAATTCTCCAGCAGACAGCTTTTGGACTTGAACTATATACAATGCACTGAATGTTTATGTCCCATCCCCCCACTACCAAATTCCTATGTTGAAACCTAATCACCAACATGATGCTATTAGGTGAAGTCTTTGGGAGGTGGTTGGGTCAGAAGGACACAGCTCTCGTGAATGTGATTAGTGCCCTTATAAAAGAGGCCCAGAGAACTGCCTCTCCCCTTCCACCACGTGAAGACACAGCTAGAAGGTACCATCTATCAACCAGCAAGTGGGTCCTCTCACCAGACACTGAATCTTCAGGCACCCCGATCGTGAACTTCCCAGCCTCCAGAACTCTAAGAAATAAATGTGCGTTGTCTATAAAGCCACCCAGTTTTTGGTATTTTGTTATAGCAGCCCAAACAAAGACGCAACCTTGACTCACATTTAATCCTAAGGATTAAATGAATTAATATAGACAAAGTACTTGCAGCAGTCCATGGCACATATTAAACAGTCAATAAATGTTAACAGCTATAATGACCACCATCATCATCATCATCATTATTCTGAATATAACTGCTGTCTTTAGCACCAATTCTTGTACTGGTCTCAAAAGCCCTCATATGCAGTAAGGACACTGGTACCCACTTATGGATGAAAATCTACTATTGGACAAATCCTACCCAGTAGCAAGCCTTGTTGACAGTAAGATGTAACTAACTGGCACAACATTAGCTACTAGAGAAGTAAGCTCACTAGGTTCCAGAAAGGGAGAGGAGGCATTACGAAGAGGAGAAAGGGAAACAAGCTGAAGTGACTTGGCTTGTCTTTTGCAGTTCTATCATTTGTCCTATCATACTAAGTCTCTCCTGAAGTAGAGGCACAAATGGCAAAGATAAGAGAGTAACACATCTCCCAGGCTTCCCCAGCTCTGGTGGGCCATGCTCACAAGCAGAAAAAGTTTGTCTTCCAGACTCAGACGCAGGATGTTGAGAGAGAGAGAGACACTGATGGGACAAAAGCCAGTTTGCTGCAAGTGCTTCACCATTTTCAGGTTCAGTGTCCTCACCGACAACTCTTCCCATAAGCTTTCTTTTTTTTTTTCTTCTTTTTTTTTTTTTTTGAGATGGAGTCTCACTCTGTAGCCCAAGCTGGAGTGCAGTGGTTCGATCTCGGCTCACTGCAACCTCTGCCTCCCGGGTTCAAGCGATTCTCCCACCTCAGCCTCCCGAGTAGCTGGGACTACAGGTGGGAGACATGGGGTTTCGACATGTTGGCCAGGTGGGTCTCGAACTCCTGACCTCAGGTGATCCACCCGCCTCAGCCTCCCAAGGTGCTGGGATTACAGGCATGAGCCACCACGCCCGGCCTCCTCCCATAAACTTTCTTTTGCCATGCAAGATTGAGCAGAGGACCCTGGTCTCTTGAGGTTCTGAGTGGAGTTGGCAGGACCCAGAAGCACAGCACCCCACAGTGAGGGAAGCCCTTGCTGCCCAAGGTAATTCCCCAAGTGCAGACATCCTGAGAAAAGTTTGCTCTCTTCACACACACTTTCAGTCACCAGAATTCTCTCCCTGAAATAACTGAGACAAGCCACCTGATGTAAGACTTTTCTAGACGACGGTCCTGAGCCATTGGCAAAATCAGAGAGGATGGGCTTTTTTTCATTCATTCAACATATATTCATTGAATATTTACCATGTGCCAGGTTCTGAGTAGTATCTACTAATGGACAGGGTATTCATAAAAGTTCTGTACGTATTAAAAGTTTCACTTAAACTTTAAATAATTGATATACTACAAATTAGTCTTTCTTTATTTACTCACGAGAGCCTTTTCCTGGATCCTAGAATGAAGAAAATTCATGGAGCACAGAGCCACAGTCATCTCCCAGCTCACAGGTCACGTGAGTGAGAAATAAACTTCTGTGGCTGTAAACCACCGAAGGTTTGGAGTTACCTGTTACTATATGCATGAACTCAGGAAACCTAACAAATACAGCAGTCACGTTTTTTATCATCCTGCAAACTAGAAAAACCCAAAAGCCTATTCCATTAAGAGTTCCTTAATAAAGTACAAACACCAGTGACAGAAATGGAGAACTAATGAAACAAGCCAGCTGTAAGAACCACTGGGACATAAAAGAGAGGTTAGTTTGTAAGATTACGAACCACTGAGATGTAAAAGTGGGGTTAGTCTGTAAGGTTATGGGAGGTGATGCACGAATGGGATCTAGTCTCGTAGACGTCAAAGGTTAATATTCTCACATATCCAAAGTAAAGCAGAGAGCGGTTTATGTAGAGCTTTACATTCACCCTCATTTCACAGATAAGAAAACTGAGGCCCAAGATGGCACAGTGGCCTCGACGACCAGGTTTTCCACTTTCAAAGTCTCTCCCTCACATCTCATTACCTGACAATGCAACAGTCTTTAATCGGCGCGAATTTCGGGGTGGAAAGGACTAGATAATGCTGATAAGCGTCATCATCCCATATACACAGCACCCAAAGGTCAGCACCCTATAGCCCACGCGTCCACCAGTCCCCGAAAATACTGGGGACAAAAGCTGACGTCAGCGGAGGGCACCTAGTCCCAGTCTTCTGGTCCTCCACCCTTCCCGAAAAGCCAAGCGGCGGAGCTGGGGCGCCCTGCGAGAAGGGGGTGAGCGTGATTGGGCTGTCCTGCATCACGTGACGGTCAGTACGCGTGGGATTTGGCTCAGAGGAGGCGGAAGTGCAGCGCAGAAAGGGGGTCCGTGGGGGAGGGCAGAAGCCTGGGGGAGGAGCTTGAGTCCAGCCACTATCGGGGTACTGCCAGCCATCCGGCCCAGGTCTCTGGGGTTGTCTTACCGCAGTGAGTACGACGCGTACTACAGAGACCGGCCGCCCGTGTGCCTGGCAGGTGGAGCCGTCCGCATTAGCTGCCTCGGGGAATGGAAGCGGAGAACGCGGGCAGGTAATGCCGGGGCCAGCAGTGCCCCTCCCTTGCGCCCCTCACGGCAGGGCAAGTTGGCTGGCGAGCGCGCGCGCACGCAGGGGTCTTTTAAATCCCGGCCCGAATACAAAGGCCGGGGCCGCGCGTGCGCACGGCGGCCTGCTTGGCCCTTCCCTGGCTGCGGCGGCGGCGGCGGCGGTGGCGGTCGGGGTTCCTCTGAGGGTTACCTGGTGCACCTGGACCATTCTTTGGTTCCCCGCGATAACCAGTTGACTATAAAATATATTAGTAAACATCCAGCAGTCTTTGGTTAATGTGTCTTTTTGGATGCCTTTCTTGGCTACGTTTCCCTTCACCCTCCATTACCACGCTAAGAGCTGTAAAGATGAGTGTCGAACATTTCCAGCTCCAGGAGTTTTCATTTTAAAGTTGGTTGATTTGTTACGGCTTCCTCCCCGAAGGCCTACTAAAAGCAATGTTAAGGGTCATGGGTTAGATAATTTTGTTGTGGGAATATGTATACCACTCTCGAGTAGTCAATCTAAAAATGACCTTTGAGTTTTCCAGTGGTCTTGGGGACGATCTTAAGAATCCGTTTTTAAAAAGTCCTTTGGGGGAGTCAAGAGAAGGATTTGCAAAAGCAAGAGATTTAGGGATTTGAACTCCTGGTGGAAAACTAAATTTTTAAAAAATGGATATGGTGGCAGTTTTTTAAAAGATAAAGAGTGATGATTTACATTGAAATTAAAAGAAAAAAAACCTATTATACCTAATGAAGAGTTATTCTGACTCTCAGTGGCTAATGGGAGCTGAATTTAGGCAATGCAAAGGACTTCTATGGGCCTGTTCATGTCTGTAAAGTCGACATGTCTGGAATCTGATTCTGACATGCCGAGAATTGGTGTTACATGAAAAGGCACACTAACCAAAATAAGAGTTTAGGAAAAGAGATATATGTAGACAAAGTGTGGGCTTTATCTTGACTTTGTAGATCAAGTCCTGGAATAAATTACTCCACTTCTTTCCCAGAAGAACTTTACAAATAAGAGAATTCGCCAAAATTTGTGGAAATCTCTCTCGTGACCTTACTTCAGAGCAGAATTGAAACTTGGGCCAAGAATAAATTACACATTGTAAGACTTTATCCAGGGTCTTACAGCAAAATAGTAGGACTTGAATACACTGTGTAGCTCAAAGCTGTGACATGTCAGCCTGACTTCATCCAAAAGGCTATCGACCAGATTTTATTTTGTCTTGGAAAGCTTTCACCTTTCAGAAACTGTGGAAAATTCTGTGTAATCATCCGAAATGACTCAGACCCCAGGTAATCGTTAGAGAGTAGTTCTCTGTCACCCTTGACTGTGCTAGTCAAAAAATGTAACGTGGGATGTGAAAAAAAAAAAATTTTTTTTTTTTTTTTTTTTTGAGACAGAGCCTTGCTCTGTTGCCCAGGCTGGAGTGCAGTGGCGGATCTTGGCTCACTGCAACCTCCTTCACCTGGATTCAAGCGATTCTCCCACCTCAACCTCCCGAGTAGCTCGGATTACAGGCACCTGCCACCAGGCCCGGCTAATTTTTTGTATTTTTAGTAGAGACAGGGCTTCACCATGTTGGCCAGGCTGGTCTTGAACTCCTGTCCTCAAGTGATCCACCCACCTCGGCCTCACAAAGTGCTAGGATTACAAATGTGAGCCACGGCGCCCAGCCGACTTTTTATTTTAGAAGACTAATTTCAGATATTCAAAGAAGAGAATTCAAATTCCATGAGTATAGACTTTTTTTTTTTTTTTTCTGAGACAGAGTTTCACTCTGTTGCCCAGGGTGGAGTGCAGTGGTGCAATTACCGTTCACTGCAACCTCTGCTTCCTGAGTTTAAGCGATTCTCATGTCTTGGCCTGCCAAGCATCTGGGACTACAGGTGCCCAACACCACACCCAGCTAATTTTTTGTATATTTAGCAGAGACGAAGTTTCACCATTTTTGCCAGGCGGGTCTTGAACCCCTGGTCTCAGGTGATCACTTTGGCCTCCCAAAGTGCTGGGATTACAAGCATGAGCCAAAGCGCCCGGCCTAGACTTTATTTCAATGGCAAAATAGTTCAGGAGTCTTAGAAAGTGCTTACAGTCTAATCAACCAGAGAGGAATAAAGGAGGAATTTTATAAGGGTACTGTGTTGTTTCCAGTGACCTCAGTCATGAAAAAGACAATTACTGAGGATGGAAAATAGGATGCCAAATCAAAAGTGACTGGAAGAGAGTGGCATGGACCACTAAGAATACAAACAGGAAAGATTAACCCTCAAATGAGAATAGGCTTTATAGAAATGTTAAGGAGACCAGGAGGGACTGTTTCAGTTAGATGTTGACAACAGGAAGAATAAAGATTTGGGTTTTCTGCCCAGTCTACTGACATGGTGGCAGCAGACAACAGAACGCCTAAGTACTTTGTTCTGATTTGGATTTTCCATCTCCTATGTTAGGAAAATGATTGTCTGACTAGAAAGGGCAGAATGAGTATCTTTAAGACTTAAAGCTCAAGATCAATGAAGGTATTTAGGAGAAGTTTCAGGTGTTCTAACAGAATCATATGCCCTGGCCTGTGTGTGTTGTATTTCAAGGGAGAGGCCAGATTAAAGCAGTGTTTGAGGATTTGTAGCAAATGTACGGGCCCTGGAAATAAACACATGGGTTCCTGTTCTTCCAGAGGTGGAGTCTGTCCTCTCTTTACCTTGATCCTGAACAAAATTTTTACTTATCGATGGTTGCTGAGCATTTTTAAAAGAAACGAATTGACCAGGCACGGTGGCTGACGCCTGTAATGCCAGCACTTTGGGAGACCAAGGTGAGTGGATCGCCCAAGGTCAGGAGTTCAAGACCAGCCTGACCAACATGGTGAAACCCCATCTCTGCTAAAAATACAAAATTAGCCAGGCATGGTAGCATAACTAGTGACCATTACACTACAGTATCAGTTCAGAAAGAAAGCAAGACCTATACTAGACAGGCAGCATCAGAAGGATGCTGACAGGAGGTACCTATGGTAGTCACTATTATAACAAATTTATCATATACCAGGTACTGTTTTGGATGTTTTACATATGCCAACTAGCTTAATCTTCATAACCAGTTATTAGGTTCTGTTGCCATTTTACAGATATGGAAGAGATTAAGAGGCATAAAGAGATTAAGGAACTTGCCCCCAGAGCTAGTAAATGGGAGAGCTGAAATTTGAATCCAGTTGACCTGGCTTCAAAGTCTGCCTCTCTAGCTAGCAAATCTGCTTTACCGCTTCTCTTAGTGGGCAAGATGGCGATGGGCTGATGGCAATCCAGTTAGGTGAAATAAAAACCTGGCTTACTACTGAAAGAATCAGGCAGACTGAAGAGAGGTCTGTACTCATATGCCATGTATCTCTATCCCTAACTTTGTTCCTTTCAGTAGCTTAACAGCAGCAGGGTGCTGATGGCATGCTGATAAAATTCGTGAGTGACCCAAGCCTGGGAGGAATTTGTGGAATTGACTGATTGATTGAATCAGAGTCCAGATAAATCCTGACTGACTGGAATGGTGAATCATCTTTTATAAAGAAGAGGCACAATCCTATACTCAGCTGCAGAAAAATCAGTGATAAAGTGGAATGAGGGAGAAGTGATACAAGGACAGTTTTCATTGATGGGAAACTCAGTGTGAATCAACAGTATAATGTGGGTGCCAGTATAGCTAGTGTCATGGATTCTGCAGTTTGTCTCCAAAATGAGCAAGTTGGTAGTCCTGCTCAGTTTCAGGCTGATGAGGCTTTATCTGGAGTTTTGTTTGATTCTGAGTACCGAAAAATGACCAAATACTGAAGAAATTTGACATCATACTACATGAGGAATTATACCATTTGAGGAATACTGTAGGAGGACTGGCTTATTCTAAATCTTTATATTCACAGTTTCTAGTAGAAGGTACGTATGGTGAATACACAGACCTCCATCTAGCAATATCAAATGGAATCTTAACAATAGTTATGGTGCTATCGCATCATAATTGACATAACCAAACCCCTTTAGTTGAGTATTTGGATTATTTAGCCTTGTTCATTATTTTGTAAGTATTCAGTATGGCATGTGCTTTTTTTAAGTGAAGATAATAAGATGTATTTAGAAAACAGCAACTTAGGCTGGGTGCAGTGGCTCACACCTGTAATCCCAGCCTTTGGGAGGCCAAGGTGGGAGGATCACTTGAGGCCAGGAGTTCAAGACTAGCCTGGGCAACATAGTGAAACCTCATCTCTACAAAAAATTTAAAATTTAGCCAGGCATAGATGCATGTACCTGTAGTTCCAGCTACTCAGGAGACTGAGGCGAGAGGATTGCCTGAGCCCAGGTGTGTGAGGTTACTGCGAGCTATGATAGCACCACTGCACTCCAGCCTGGGTGACAGAGCCAGACCCTGTCTCTTAAAAAAGAAAAAAGCAACTTAAATCCCTAAAATAGTGTAAAATAATTGAAGATAAAAGAAGTTGGAGTCATTAATTTTAGAGAAAACCTTAAAGATTTAGTTTTTTGAAATACAGCAAATCTAGCCAGGCATGGTGGTGTGCGCCTGAGGTCTCAGCTACTCAGGAGGCTGAGGCAGGAGGATCACTGGAGCCCAGGAGTTGGAGGCTGCAGCCAACTATGAT